AGGGGGCCACCGTGCGCTCGCTCGCTTGCTTACTCGCTCCTCCCTCCCTCCGTCCCTCCTGAGTCGGCTCGGGCTTTCTGGCGGCGACGCGCAGAATAGCGTGCTCTATCTGTTGCATTTGCGGAGATGTAGGGGCTTGCTGAATAGCATCTGATTTAATGGAAATCTGGCATTCTGACAAAGAGTCCATGGTTTGTCTAGTTGTGGGCTGAGGTCGTTTCTCTGTTGCGGACCACGCTTGTTAGTTACGCGTGGGCACTTGGAAAGCGAATAGATCTGTGTGGTTACCAGTTCCGATACGGCATGCAGTTTTGAATTTGTCATCTAGCTGCAGTCATAACTGTAAATGTGGCTATTATGTACAACGCTGTTCATTTCTTCAGTATGTTTTAAAATTGTCTAACATTTGTTCTCCAAAAATATTAGTCTAGATACGCAGGAAACAAACAAAAAAAATTAAAAATGATAAAAACAACTAGAAGTGGCTATTGTAATTGTAAAGTAATTACATTGAAATTGTAAGTAATTCAAACTTTTATATTGATTGTGAAAATGACGAAATTTAGGGTTGTTTTAGTGTTATGTCGTTGTTCTTGTTTAATGTGATGTCTACTTACTGAGTTACGAAATTCATTTTGCCTTACGATTTAGTATTCTGCTTGCTTCTGAAGTTGAATTGCGACACAGACGCTGGTAGCATTAATGTTCGTGACGAGAGTAAGAAATTAATATCAGTGCGTGTTGGAATAATGTATTCGTCAGAGAATGAACCGTACAAATAACTTGGTAGTTTTAATGACTTGCATCGGATGTAAAGTGCTTCTTTTCGCTTCTGACGCATCTAAGAAAGATTGTGGAACTTCGCCAAATTCTCCAGAAAGAGGGAAGACGAGAAAGGCAGGGAGGGAGAGAACCAAAAAAGAAGCCTCTGCGAAGCGGTTGTCTATCTTTTGCGTCGCAGGGAGAGCGAGGCGCCCTCCGCACCGGGCAGCGGCGCAGCTCGCGGCTTCGCCTGAAAAATTAATCTGTTCGCGGGAAGCCGCGCGGCGCGCCGCCCGAACCCGCCCGCCTCCGGGCGCGTGCGTGCGCCGCGCACGGGAGAAAGTTGCAGGTGGAGAGGGACACGGGAAGACTGGGTGGGACGGAACGAGATGAGGCGGGAGCGGTGCTCGAGAACGCGGGTCACGTTCTTCCGCGACCCGCTGTACGGGTGGAGCGGCGGCAGATCCTCGTCCCCGACGACTCCCCACCGCGCCGTCTGTGCTCGCTCGTAGACGCCCAACCCAGCATGCGGACGAGCTTCCCTTCTGCCCCTACTACCTCTTCCGTCTCCGCCGCTGCCTCCTCGGCAGGTCGTCTTCGACCGGCTTCCTCTCCGCTCCGTGCCCGGGCGAGCACACCCGCTCACCGCGCCGTCAGTCAATAAGCGACGTGCCCCTTGGAAATATTAAGGCGCGCCCACAGGCACCCTCAGACGCTCTCGTCTCTGGATTCGCGACGTGATTGGCGGCCGCTGGAGCGTTCTCCCCCGCGGGCTCCGCGCAGTGGATAAGCGCGCACTGTGCAGCTCTTCTTGCTCTCGCGCCCGGAGACGGCGCGGCGTAGCGAAGTTGTTCTCAACTCGAAGCAAGGATAGTGGCCACTTAGTGCCGCTACCTCGCGCGCGGAGTCTCGGAGTTGCAACTCTGAAAGCACGGGAGTTGCTAGGAGAGAAGGGTCCGTCGGCGGCCATTGGAGGAGGAGCAGCCCTGTGGAAATCCAGCGGAGTGTTGCCCGTTGCCCGTCGCGCAGCGTCGGCCTGATGCGATTACCCACGGCGGCGCTCCTTCGCTCGCGGCCGCTCTGCCCGGTTCGCCGAGGGCCACCCTCTCAGATTTAATAAGCGACCGTCACGTCGCGCCGCGCTGACCGTCGTCTCCTCACCCCCTATCTAGAAGCCGACGTTGCTGCAGCAGGGAGCTCCAGACGCCGCTTGACAAGAGGCGAGGACGCGGCGGGCGCGGGATCACGAGTCGCGTGAGCTGGGTGACGATGGGGAGGGGGTCTTCGCACGCGCCTCGCCGGGCATGATCAATCCCGTTCTGCTTCGCGGCAATGCTGGGGAGGCGGACACGTCCGAGTGCGCAGCGACGAGTAGACTTCGAGGGCACGGAGCTGAGTCAGCGTCGACGTCGTCTTGCGTGCTCTCTCTCCTCGTTTCCGCGGCCGTCGCCGCCACCTCAATGGCCTACGCTGTGGTGCGCGTGTGCGAGGAGAGAGGGGCGGCTTCCGGCGCGATTTTTTTGCTCGCGACCTTGGCGGCCGACACGCGTGACAGCATCGTCTCTTCACGTCGCCACTGCTGCTGCTCCCGAGCTTTCAGCGCGTTCTCTGGCGAGACGCTCTTCTCATATTGGTGCCGCTTTTCCTGGAGGGCCCTTGAAATAAAATTTAGTTTACTCGGAAATGGAAAATGCCCACTGCGTGAAAAACCTCTATTGATAGTCTCAATGTTTCCTCAAAGTAAATGGTTTCGCAATGAAGGTTGTTTATTGTAGGAGACAAGATGGACGGGAAAGGTTGCGTTTTGTCAATGATTTTTCGTTTCGAACAGGTGAAGTAAGTTCCGATACACACGCGTCCTTTAGATGAACAATGTAGGGGTTTGGAGATGAGAACACATGCATATGCATCATTGATTCCTGGATTCCAAAAACAACACAATTCAGTAATACTAAGTCAATAGGAGGCGTGTTAATCCCGTCGTAGAATCGTTCAACTTAGCCAGCTCCAAGACAAAGCTGAAACATTGTTTTGTGGCGAGGTTGCTGGTTTTTATTTGAATAGGGTATGTGCCAAATGCAACGAGCGAACTGTGTTAAAATGAGCCTTTTTTAAGTTGAGTAGTAAAACTATTTTCCTGAAAGATCTTTGTTAATCTGAGTTGCTTGTATTGGACAATCCCCAAAACTCGCCTACCTGCACACGCGAGTATGTTGAAATCAGTGTTCTCGTTCAACGCTAGGAGAATTGTTCTGAGAAGTACATGTGATCGTCGAGACTATTAGAAAATTATACTTGAGAAAATGTCTATATCTTCATGATATTGATTTTGCTGACATACACGCCTTTTCGCTCCTGGGGGGGGGGGTGCTCCCTCCGCCGAAGCTGATGAGGTCACATCCTCGCGAATCTTTCTCGAGTTGGCTCGTCCCCCGCTTGCTCGCGGTCTTGTTTTGAAAGCCGTGATTACGAACTCAAAACATCGCGTAAGGGACTTCGTTTATTTTGTAATTCAAGCCATGTTATAAAAGAGTAATATCTCCGCAGTCATTTATCTTCAAAGGGTCTGCGGGAGAAGGCGTCTGAAACGGAGGCGGCGGCGGTGGCAACGAGCGTTTGCGTTTTCGTGGCAGCCGCGAAGTTGTCGGCCTGGCCGGGGCCGGGACGGAGAGGGAGGGAGGGGAAGCCAGTAGGCGGCGGCGGCGGGTAGTACATCTGCGGGACGTTAAGTGCATCTCCGGTTTCTCGGCGCGGAGCAAAAAGCGGAGGGTTTTTACGCCCTACGCGCCATGTTTATGCTCTTCGCGCGGCAGAGCGCTGGCATCGCGCGCACGCTCTCGACGGAGTCCACACGGACCGCGCTGGGTGGGCTCGACGCCTGCGCGTCTGTTGTCTCACGGTTTCGTCACACTTCTCACCTTTTCGTTTCGTTCGTCACGTCATATTCTACTCCCATTCTCTTCGGGCTCGAGGCCTGTATCACATTTGCGATTTCACATAACAATGATGTTTGAAATTTCTATGTTCATCACGAATTGTGTTGTTTTGTGTCCTCCCGTCTATTACATCGTGTAACATCTTATTCTTCTATCTGGACATACATTTAAAAGGATGCGACAGGAATATATCTTGCTTTCCTTTTAGAATCTCATAATATACATTCCTGGGGAGGTGTCAGAGTGTTTCATCCAATTGCTAATTGCTGTTTTCTGTATCCTATCCCCATTCATTTCGTCACACGCTTTCATCTATCCTAATCCCATAATCACGTACCGGGGTCCGTAACTCATCATTTCCGCTGTGTCACACGGTCGATAATAGTCCCGTCTCGCCGTGCTACATCTCGACACGTTTCACCTTACTTCGTTCTCCCCTCTTAGCTCAGCCCCTCCTCGCTACGCAGCTTTCCCATTCCTCTCCCCTTGACAGGTACATCGGAAAGGTCGCGGTAGACGGCGGTCCCCGCGGCCCGGTGCTGTGCTGTTCAGCCGCTAAACTACTTTATACTCCATGTCGCAGCCCGCCTCGACGCCTGTTCCCGTCGCGGTGGGTTCTGACAATGCCCCCAGTTTCGCGTTGTTGGTGCAGCTCGGCGGATTCCCCTCCGTGCCTGCACACCACCGTTGACAGCTCGGGTCACTCACTCCCCGCCTGTCCTCGCCTTCTCGGGAGGCGAGCGCGGCGGCCGATGCCGCTCCTGCCTGCTCTCGCGGCAGGTGGAACCGGTGCCAGAGCTCTGTAATGCCGCGAGACCGGCCCTGATTCAGAGCTTCTATTTATAGACGACCGCCGAAGCCCGCGCGTGTTTCCGTAAGGGCGCCGCGCCGCCACCCTCCCATGCTGTTCGGGAGCCCTGCTAATCATGTTAACAGGGATTGCGCGGCAGGCTCCTTAATAACGATGGGATTGATTCCTCGCACGTGTTCAGTGTATCTTACTTAGTCGTACTGATTGCTACCTCATTGAAGGGATGCTTTCACGTTTGGCGAGATACTGTGTAACTCTTAATAACGTTAGGAACAAATAAATAAACTCCGATAACGTATTCAGGGCATTTACTTTCTATTACCGAATGTTCTCGTGACGTTCACTTGACCTATTTGTTCTCTACTAATTGTCTATATTGGGAATTTAAGCTTTAAAAAATTCACTTTCCCTCCTCCATTTTCCTCATTAGTACTCCTTTTCAAAGACCTAGTGTTTGTGAATTGTTTCTTCAGAGAATATTCCTTAACTAGATAACGTTTGACAGCGTGGAATCTGCAAAGCGCGCTAAGGAGTCACTGAACGGCGCAGACATATACTCCGGCTGTTGCACGCTGAAGATTGACTACGCCAAGGTGAGTACCATCTTCATTCATTTTAGAGATTATAGTAAATTTTAAGAATCGTCTAAATAAGCAATTTTTCATTATCTTTGGTTTATGTATAAGAAGTCTGGGGAATGACTTTCATTGTGTTTTTTAAGGTGGCCCCATTTACATCCTCCTTTCTATCTGCATGCAAACTAGCAATAGCAGGGTTAGAATGTTCCGATATTGCTTGTTTAATCGATGGTGTATTTTCTTTGTGACAACGTGCTGGACGAACACAAAGTCTGGAAAGCTTTCCGATCCGTAAGCAAGCAGTTAACGCTAGAAATTCTCGTGTTACTAACATAATTGTCGGTTAAGAGCTCTTGTACAATAAATGACTTAGTAAAATATTTTAAATGAATTGAGAAGTAAAGAATGCTTATTCATTATTTCACAAGTAACAATTAGTGATTTAAATAAATTAATCGTGTGCCATAAGTAAATAAGAAACTAAAAGTATTTCGTAGGCGCATATGCATGTTTTTTTTAAAATTTATAATCTTTTTTGAAAGAGGAAATGCGTTAAAAATAAAATCAATGGATTTATATTAGATGTACACGTTTGAGTCTCATTCGCTTGAAGTAGATATTGTTTGTAAGTATTCAGGATTTTAAAAAAGTTCATTAATTGTCAGAGGCACCAAGCATCAAAATAAAAATAAACTTAATACTATACAATATTTGTTAAACCGTGACGGCTGGTTTTATTCGTCTCGGAGAGTCTCAACGTTAATCGTATTTATGCTTAGGGAAGCGAATGACTTACCTTGGGAGAAGGAAATCGTGATTCGCTTCGTTGGTTGATGCGCGATTTCAGGGCTTCGCGAATGTCACGGCATTGCCGCCGCTCCCACATCATCCCTAAGCAGTTGGTGTCCCTGCCTGGCAGCCCACCCCTTCTATCTCCACCATGGACGCGGCATTCGCCTGCTTGGCTGGTGCGGCGCGGCGGCCTAATGAGCTGCACGCACCCGTCACGGCGCCTGCCGTCGGCGCTCGTCACGTCGTCGCCGGTGGCGGTGCTGGGCGCGTTTGAGGCTGCGCTGACCCGCGCTAATTGATGTTTATGAGCGGCGCGCGATTTACGGCTCCCGCGCTCCAGCCAGGTCGCGGGCGCCGCGCGCGGAAACATCGCTCGGAGAAATAACCCGCGCTTCGCCGGTGACCTCTCGGCGTTCTGGAACACTGTTGACCGGGCTATTTGCCACATATAGATATTCTATTTCCTGGCTGTGATTTCCCCTCCCCTCTTTTTAATTCTTTGTGTTAACATTTTGCATAGTTGTGAGGAAGTTAAAAATCTGGTTGGTTTTGTCATGACATTTTTGGTAGTTATTAGTAGAAGCTATTTTCATCATACGAAAAATTTATAGTCTCATGATTTACTGAAAAAAATAAATTTAAGTGTAAAAATTCCTTACAAAACACATTCGTTTCTTCGATTTAATTATAGTAGTTTATGCAATTAGTTTATAATGTTAAGCTTTATTTGCCCGAGTACGTGTTTTGATAACGAGCTACTTTCGGAGCGAGTTTCAAATTTGTACGAATGTAATAAAGCAACATTATAAACGAGTTGCATACTGTATTTTTTTGTATAACAGCATTATACATTTATAAGAGAATCAAACTTAATTTTGCGATGCAACTTCGCTGTGACGACTCGGGTGTTTGACATCGTGCAAGTAAACGGTGGTTGACTGTTCCATTTAGCTCTACCTCCCCCCAATTCTCTCGCTACGATTTGCTGAATGTGTGATGACGCAATCACACAAAAGTTAGTGACAAAATCTAATACGTCATCATTTGTGCCTTAAAATATCCGATTAAGAATGATTTCTTGCTACAGAAATGGTTCTTTTATAATGCTTGCATACAAAAATGTTATCTCGCATAACTTCGTCTCATTGTAACTGAAAATGCATTGATAACTTACATTGTAAGTCAACTGTTATGGTATCGAGAGTTTCATTTTCTACTTTGAAGCCGGTGAAAAATTGTTATGAACAATACAGTCTCTTTTTTGAGCTAGATGAAACAAATGCTTTTCCTCCGCAACGTTGCTTCCCGTTGTGTCGGAGTCCTGAAATATTTCTCCCATTTTGGCAGTCATTCGAACTACAGGGGTTTTATTACTACATTATTCGGTAATGTTAAAGCTGAATAATACGTACTCAACTTTACACACACACACACACACATAAACAAACAAACAAACAAACAAAAAAACACCAGTCAGAGACGAGCCATCCCGGAAGAGTTGGCGTAGGAGGGTATGCATTTCAGAAGGATGACTGCGAGGCTTTCTAGAAGATGAAATGTGCGTGGAGGCGGGACACGGACGGCTAAATGCTAGGCGAGCGGGCGGCCTGCAGTCGGTCGGTCCATCGGCCCTGCCGCCGGTCTGCGCCATCCGCTCGCCCGGGGCGCCGCGTTTGTCGGGTCACGTTGCCGCTTCGCAGTATTGTGCGTGGCGTGCGCTTGACAGCGCATGCAGCGCGAGTGCTGCCTCCCCGCTGCTCCCTTCTCTGCCCGCGCTTTGTGGCGGCTGTTCGCTCGTCGCGCGTTCGCCGCGCTCTGGCTTCGCGGTCGGGCGGGAGGTGCTCGAGAGCGTCTGACTGGCGTAGGTACGGGGCGGTCAGATAGAGGGCAAGCGTGGAACGAGGGACCTACGCGTGAATGGAATAAAGTCGCATTGTGGTTAATTCGTTGAAAAAAGTGAGCTGCGAGTTGTGTGATGGGCGTGCGCATAATTTTGTGGTGGATAATGTTAGGCTCTGTGTTGTGCATTTCATTCTCACTATGCTGTGGATTCCATAGGCATTCTTCCGCGAGTAGTAATTAACTGTGAGCACATAATAATGTAACTAAGCCATAGTGAATTGTGAATTTTCTGAGAAGGTTGTAATGTGCGGACGCTTAGAAAGGAGAGAATGACGAAAAAAGATCGGAAGCCTGAGAGGCAGTGGCAAACAATTGTCTGTCTGTTTGGAGTGTGGAGGTGCTTCTCAGAAAGAGTCGCAGTCGTGAGAGGCGAAATAGAACGGGCGAGGAAATTTCCGCTTGCCTTGCTGTGCCCCGCTGCGCCTCGGGTCTCAGGAAGAGCTCCGCCGTGCACGCGGAAGAGTAAACATGCGGAGCTGGAGGGGCCTCTCACCGTGGGCCAGATGGATGGGCGCACGGGGGTGAGGGAGGAGACGAGGGTGTCGCAGAGATGGAGTTGTTTGGGAAGCCCCGAGTTCCCAGAATCCCTTCGCTCTCCCGAATTGCATTTTCATAATAATCGGACCGGCTCGAGTCACGTTCCGCGAACGTTGGGGCCCGTCCGAACCTCGTTTCCTGGCCGTTCGGTCGCCTCCTGGCCCATTCGTTGCAACGAGCTTTCGACCCGGCGTTCTTCGGGCTATTCTTGTGCATATCGCTGTTCAGATCGCCTGCCACCGTATTCTAAAGGATAGCGTATCGCACCCAAGATTCACGTAATGTAAACATCATTTGTCAAAATCAGGCCGTGCATATGCTGCTCTTCCGCGGAATCAATTTCCAAGTCACTCCCATTAGCATTAAATATTACATCCTACCGATTGGAACTGACGCGCACTTCCGCACTTGGTTTTACATGGAAATAATGTACGCCCGGCTCCGAGGCATTGCTGCGCTCCACACGCGCAGTTACAAAACCGGGGAATTAAACGAAAGATGAACCGCGCTTACGATTCCGTATTCCAGAATTTACGTTTATATACGATTCCGTCAGACTTAGCGAGGTTCCGGTATGGATGTGGGTGTGTTTGCGGCCGTAACTGCCCTTCGCGAGTCGCCCTCCAGCCCCTGTTGGAGACGTTCTGGTCGGCGGCAACGGAAGTCATTCCCCGCGCGATGTTTGTTGGCGACGTGATTAAGGGGAATTTAATTGTACGTCACCTGGCGAGCAGTGGGATGTAGGGAGTGGGCGTGCCTGAGGCACATAGGAAGCCATCACGGCATTTTATGCGCGCCGGGAAGGACGGAAGGGGGTGGGGCACGGGGTTGGAGGCTTCTCTTGAAGCGATATTTACGGTCGGTGGGCGCGATCGACCCCAATGGAGCGTGCGAACGCGGCGTCGATGTTTATTCATGACCCCGCGTGGGCGCGCGTAGAGCGGATCGCTGTCGCAGTCGCTGCCGCCACCGCGGCGGCCGACCTACGCTCGAGCAGCGCCGTGCGTTTCGCTGGCATCCGCGGCACACATTCACACTCGCACACAAAGGGACTGTTCGAGGCTGCTTTCCTGTCCTCCCACGCCTCCGCTTCCAACGCATTCTCCATTGCGCCCCTCTTCCGTTCTCGGTGCTTTCGTCTCCGCCTCCGCGAGCTACACTTTCCAATCTCGCCTCGCTCAGGAGCGAAGGCGGGTCGGCCTGGATCGAGGGGACAATTTTCCCTCGAATGTAGTAGGCGGGGAGGCCATTGAACCGTCGCAATAGCGAACTCTCACCTCTTCCTCCCTTCTGTTCCGGCGGCGGCGGCGGCGGGGCTGTCAAATTAACGTCGCGACGTTCCTCTCTCCGCCTCGCCCCACACCCCACGATTCCTTCGCGAAGTCTCCGGTCGCCGCCTGTTCCTTTCTCTGTCCCTCCGCCTCCACACTCGACTCTTCGCCCT